AAATGAACTCTGTTTACAACCTTTACACATACGTAGATATTACTTGGCTGGGAAATATTGGCTTACATCGAAATCTTTTACAAAAAATAACATTATAGCTTTGTTAGAGGAGTTACAAAATTTTAGCGATAATACATATTGGAGAAACAGGAAAATAACTCTGTTGGTTTCTATACATGAGTATCTTAAATTTTTACCGATACATTTTAGCTCACAATTAGACATGTTTTCTTTGAACACTTGGGTCACCTATGTGGATCTTTCTAAAAATATTAAATATAATATAGAAGATGTTCATACTGCAAAAAGGTTTTACACGCCGTCTAACCTAAGAGAAGTTTGTAGTCAATATATCAATCAGTACTATGGCACATGGTATAAAATTTTCACTGACGGCTCGAAGGACGGTAGCAGGGTTGGAGCAGCGTTTTTCGACCCACAAACAAACTCCTCTGTGAAACTTAATATAAAGTGTAATATGAACATAATGTATGCAGAACTTGTTGCAATAAGTGAAGCCTTAGCATATGTTGAATCATTTCATAGCGGCGATTATGTAATTTTGTCAGATTCGAAGAGCGCTCTCCAGCATCTGGCTCGGTGCTCCTCGAAAACTCGAGGGACCCCGATAGCCTATAATATAATGCGTTCTATACAAAATCTAGAAATGAATAATAAGAATATAACACTGCAGTGGTTACCTGCACATATTGGATTGACCGAGAATGAGACAGTAGATAGATTAGCTAAAGAATCTCTCGTTGATGGCTTAGATTTTGCATATTTGCCATATTATTCTGATTTATTGTATGTGGTTAAGAATCGCTGTTTTCAACTATGGTCAGAATATTTCGATAAAAGATCGCTAACTAAAGGTATTTGGCACCGAACCATTCAGCCTACTATACATAAACATCCCTGGATCGATCAAGCCAATATGAGCAGGCCAGACATGATCATGGCTCTCAGACTTCGTTCCGGACACGTCCCACTGAACAGCTTTGCACATTTAATTGGTAAAGTCGATTCCCCCAACTGCTCATTATGTAACAAAGTAGAAGATGTACACCATATTCTGATGGAGTGTCTCCGGAACGAACCCGAAAGAAAACAATTATTTTGTGAACCTAACTTTAATATTGGTATATGTAATAGCATTCTCGCGCTCCCCTTCTCGGAGAAAGCGAGAGCGCTTTATAATATAGCTAAAATTTGTATGCTTAATAGATTTTAAATAATGTTCTCCTATGAGGGCGGCATAATCACTTCGTGACTAAGCCCTCGTTAAATCAATAAAAAGAAAAAAAAAAAAAAAAAAAAAAAAAAAAAAAACTACAAGGTGCTGGATTTTTGTACGGTTAAGAGCAATAGCTTAACTTTTGATTTAAAAGTTTTACAACTCACAAGGTTACGGAGTGGCGGTGGCAAATTATTCCAGCACTTTGTTGCACTATACCGGAATCCTCCTCTGAACGCTGTTGTTCTGTGTCTAGGTATGTGTAGTGGTGCAGACCCTGCTCTGCTACTGTACTTTTTGCCCACACCCATCCAGTCTAGTTTGGTAAACAAATATTGTGGCGTTTTATATTTGACGAGCCCAAATAAAAGTGTAGCTAAATGAAGCTCCCTCCGCCGCTGCATCTTTAAAATACCAGCTGCGTTCAGATATGGTGTAACATGGGCTCGTCTTGGAATGTTAAAGCAGTAGCGCGCACACGCGTTCTGCACTCTTTGTATTAAACTAGACGTTCTAGCTAATAGCCTAGGACCATATACTACATCGACATAATTGAACTTCGATAACACAAGCGAGTCACATAATTGTATACGCAGGTCAGTACTTATGTAATCGCGAATTCTGTATAACAATTTAAGCCGGTAAAAACAATTCCGTACTACGTCACAGATATAATGTTCAAACCTAAGCTCTTCGTCCATAACTAACCCCAAATTCCGCGCTTCTAGCACACGGTCTATACGGCACCCGTTAATTTGTATTTGAGGGTCTAAGCTACATATTTTTTTCACTTGATCCTTGGAACCCATAACCATAAATTTAGTCTTGTTCGAATTAAGTAACAGAGAATTATTCAAAGCCCAGTTATTGACGGGCCTGTTAGTCTAGTGGTTAGTGACCCTGACTGCTAAGCCGGAGGTCGTGGGTTCGATTCCCACCCAGGACAAATATTGTGTGATGAGCACGATCATTTGTTCTGTGTCTGGGTGTAATTTATCTATAATATGTATGTATTTAAAAATATATAAGTATGTTTATCAGCAGTCTGGTTACCATAGCACAGGCTCTGCCTAGTTTGGGATCAGACGGCCGTGTGTGAGATGTGTGAGGTATATTATATTATATATTATTATATTATATATTATTTAGATCTTCATTAATTCTATCCACTGCATTTAGAGTTTCGTTAGGCTTAAAAGATAAGTATATTTGAACATCGTCAGCATAAATATGAAATTTGCAAAATTTAATCACTTTCACCATGTCAGCACTAAAAATAATAAATAGAAGCGGTCCCAAGACCGAACCCTGAGGAACGCCGCGTGTTACCGATTTCACAGCAGAGCGAGATGATGATCCATCCTCACAATAAAGCTCTACGTATTGAGAGCGATTATTTAAGTACGAGTCAAACCATCGCACAGCAGAAATATCAAATCCATAATATGACAACTTGGATAGTAGCAATGACGTATTTAGAGCATCAAAGGCCCTGGAAAAATCCAATAATACCAAAATCGATCCCTGTCCCGTGTCCTGTGCTGCCAAAATATCGTCCGCAACATCCAGCAATGCAGTCGCTGTTCCCCTATTCTTCCTAAAGCCTGATTGTTTATCTGGTAGGATGTTGTTAACCTCCAGATATTTCGTTAACTGTGCGGCGACGACTTTTTCTAGAACTTTGGAAAGACATGGCAAAATGCTTATAGGACGGAGGTCCCGCACTGAAGTTACATCGTTGTTCTTTGGTATTGGCCTCACGATGGCTGTTTTCCATAGGGAAGGGAACTTGGATGTCACAATAGACTGGTTCACTAAAATGGCAAGCAAGTCCAATGTGTGAGGCATTGTTAAACTTATCATATCTAATGTCAGGCCATCAACTCCTTTAGCATTAGATTTTATACCTTTTAGTAACTTAACTATGTCAGATGTGTTAACAGTGCTGAGGACAAATGTACTACTACTAAAGCGATTAAATTCGAAAAATGATAACTGTGATATGGAAGCAGTTAGGTTACCGGGAATATTTAAAAAAATTTCATTGATCTGATCCGCAGTACCAACGCACAGTGGAATTGCTGACGTTTTAGAGGGTGTCAAATTGCTTTTTAAGTTCGTCCATAGTTTTCTGGGATTTTTTATGTTACCATTTATATGTAATTTGAAATAACATTTCTTCTCACTTTGAATTGCCTGTTCTACTAGTTTTTTTAAGTCTTTATAATAGATTAAATGCGCTGTAATTTGACTAGCTCGAGCTCTTTTTAAGGCAGCATCACGAAGCCTCATCATGAGTTTCACGTTGTCAGTCAGCCACGGAGCAGGCTTTTCACGAATGATTTTAACCTTTATCGGTGCATGATTATCAAATAAATTATTAACAACCCTTGTGAAGTCATTAACCATGTGATCAACGTCATCCAATCTTGACAGACTGTCCCACCTAATAGCAGCAACATCTTTTTCAAACTGAACTAAATTTATATCTTTAAACGGTCGATAGGAAATTAATTTGGGTGCAAACTTAGGCTTGCGGAAAACAAATTCAGCAGTTATGAATGCGTGCCCAGTGATTACGCCTACCGAGTCCACAGAAACACTACGCACAGGTGCGCTTGAGCAAATAATATCAATTAAGGAGTTACTACTATTTGTAAAATGAGTCGGATCCGAAACTACTTGTGTCAATCCAGTGCAATCTAAAAAAATATTAAATAAATTTGTTTTCGTATCGGTTTTATTATTTAAATCAATGTTAAAATCGCCTAATAATATTAAAATGTCGTAATTTGATAGAGCAGCAATGGAATCCATAATAGCATTCAGAAAGACATTCGTATCGAGCCATGGCGGTCTATAGGCTGTCCCTATAATCACTCTGTTATGGTTTACTTTGACTCTTAACCACAGCTGTTCAACGGATCGGTGAACTGGATGGCCGAAAGTGGTTACGGGAAGGCCACGTCTTATATAAAAGCCTACACCACCGCCACGTCCTTCGCGAATCGATGAAGGTCTCGGCATATGTCTCAACCTATACTCTGGAACCGCTGGCGCACGTGCCTCTTCACCACTCCGCAACCAAGTTTCATTTATAGCGACGATATCAGCTGCTTTGTGCTGCATTGCTACTACAAAATTATCATGATTTGTACCTAAAGATCCGGCGTTAAAAACCCAACTTTAAAATATTTAGAAGCCATGAGTATATACATTTAGTAAAACTTTCCTTAATATAAAATAGCAAATAATAAAAAAGAAAATATACTTGCACATACGGAATGTGTATAGATAACGCAGTAAATATATATAAAATAAAGCCAAGTAGACAAATAAATAAATAACAGCAGCAACAACATTCCCGTGAGTTAGGTCTAAGGACTTCAACCAAATATCCTTCACCAATAAATGAGCAATAACCTGATTACCACACAATGCACACAATACACGTAATAAATATTCGCATTTCGAGCCTAATAAACGGTAAAGTCTCTTACAATTTAGTAATAAGAAAAAGTAAACATAGATTATAAAAAACAGTATCAGCACCATCAGCGTATAACAACTAAAACAGAAGTTCCATAATTTCAGCCCACAGCTGTACGCGCAAATTATAACTGAAGTTACCAAACTATAGTAAAAATTGGCATATAATACGTAACATTCATTTAAATTTAGATGAACATATAAACTAATACAAACTGAACTGAAACCGCTACAAAAACAAAATAATTTGAAAATTGAAAATGAGACGTGTTTATTATGGCAAAGTAACGGTGTCCGACCCAAAAACACGCGTTATGTCATTTTCTGTTTGTATATGATAAGACATTTTGCCTTCGTCCTGCTTAACAAATATTCGGCCACGTTTTACCCATAAGAATTTCCATTGTAAGCGCTTGCGCGCTTCGCGTACCTTATGTAGCAACTGTCTATTCGTCTTTGTGAGACGTTCATTTATGTAAAACGGGCGTGCGTCACCCGGCATACCAAAGTCCGCCGCGTTAGCACCTCGTCGCACTCGCATATTTCGCAGCATGTCATCACGATGAGCCCGGCGAGCGAACCGCACTACCAACGGTCGCGGTCTCCCACCACGCGCTGCAGTATCCCCGCTCTCAGTCGACGCGTAGGCGCCGCGTGGATATCTAGGCCCCACCCGCTCCGCACTTACGATGTCTCGTTCGTCTAGTGTCATTCCTAACTTAGTGCCAATTATAGTGACAAGATGAGTCGGATTCTCAGCTTGCATCTCGGGTAGATTCGTAATTTCTATGTCATTGACTAGCATCTCTTGCTCCTTTTGGTCAAGTTCGAGTCGTAGTTGGGCTATGATATTTTCAAAACGAGCTGCGCCGCCAGTTTTCTGAGTAACACTTTGCTCCAATGCCCCGACCCTCTCTTCTATCGAATCGAGGCGCGAATTATTCAACGACATAGTGACACGCATCTCCCTCATATCCTCACGCATCATTTTCACTTCGTCCCTCAACGCGTGCAATTCTTCCCGAAATAGACGAACTTCATGTGCCAGATCGAACCCGGACTGCTCCAGACTGTTTGAAGACTGTTTAGCGGTTCGTGGTTCCGTATCACCTTTAACTGGCGTATCGGAACCATTTTTCCTTGGTTTATTTTTAGTGCATTCCGGGCAAGACCAGTCCCTGCCAATTCTGCTGTCTTTCCCCTTACCTAAGCATGATTGATGGTATGAAAGAGGACAGGTAGAACAACTAACGCCATCTGCCTGCGAGATATAGCGACCACAAGCGCTACACTTGGCTTGAGGCATTACGACAGCGGGCAAAGGTTAATGCTATTGATTTACCTAGCTTACGCGCGTAGTTGTTTGCAAGTTGGTGAGATGGCGCTGTCACATACAAATTTGTAACAGTTAACAGTCAGTTGTCAGGGTAAACAAAAAACACTAATATGTTTCACCCACAAAATAAACAGTTAATCACTATTTTCTAACTTTAACACCAATTTCACTAGTTAAATGTTTGATTTTTTTGGTGAGATAACACTCGTGGCACACTTGTATCACAGGAACTTTAAACGCAATATACTTTGAGCTTACTTTGCAGCCTATTTCTAATTTTCGTAACAAATAAATACAACACAGAAGGTACCGTGACAAGCGTCCGTGACAGTCCTCGGAGCAGCACTGCAGAGAGAAGGAAACTTGACACAAACCCTATACCAACCCGTCTGGTTAGCGTGGAATAGCAGGCCAAAACCTCCTTTCTAAGGAGAGGCCAATGTCCAGCAGTGGACTGTTAAAGGCTGTTGATGTGTGTGTGATGTGAAGTTACAAATCAAACCTTTTCTTTTAAACTATATGCTTTCTCATATTGTGCCATGGCGCTTTTTTTACTATCATAAAATAGATGTAGGATTTGACACCTATCTCTAGGGAACGAAAGAAAAGGGGCCTCACTGACTAACTGAGCTCTTTGGGATTTGGAAGCCACATATTGATACGCTTTGTAAAAAAGTCAGTAAGTCAGATTACGCGCTACTGAACTAGCTCAAATATCTAATAAAAGTTCTGTTCTGACTGCGTACCATGGCCTGGTCATCTCGGCGTTAAGGTACGGTATAATTTTCTGGGGAAATTCAACGCATAGAGATACTTACAACAGATATTTTCAAGATGCAGAAGAGATGTGTTAGAGCTATGTTTATTTTCTTAAATACAAACTATTATCTTTGCCCTGCTTATACATATTTGAAGTGGTCATGTTTGTTAAACATAATCCAGGTTTATTTATGTTAGCTTCAGATTTATATAACAGACTACAGCGAGATGTGCATCGACTTTGTGTGCGTAAAACTAATACTGCATTGGTGCGGAAAAGTATTTTACATGTGGCATCCCTTAAATACAATAAACTGCCAGAAACAGTGAAGGAAGCAGACTTTAATATGTTCAAGAAAGAAATAAGTGAATTATTATTGGTAAACAAATGCTCTCACGGATTATCTAAACGACAAGTTACACGCTGACATTTAAGCTAATTTATATTTTCTATACTAATATTATAAAGCTGAAGAGTTTGTTTGTTTGTTTGTTTGAACGCTCTAATCTCAGGAACTACTGGTCCGATTTGAAAAATTCTTTCAGTGTTAGATAGCCCATTTATCGAGGAAGGCTATAGGCTATATATCATCACGCTAAGACCAATAGGAGCGGAGCACCAATGAAGAATGTTTCAAAAACGGAGAAAATTTATTACTATTGAGAGACGCAGACGAAGTTGCGCGGGTCAGCTAGTTACGAGTATTAGATTATCGTCTCTTTACGAACAATACTCTTAGTTTTAATTGGGCCTCGTTGCTTTGGTTGTAATAGCAAAACATTAATTAATTATTAATTTGGATGACAATTGACTTGCTATTTTTATTTTATAATTGATTGAGCTTGTAACTGTTCTTATGTTTTTTCTGCCCTGTGACATCTTATTTAATTGTTTGTATTGACCTAATAATTTTTGACTTAAATATTTCTGTGTATGTCTATGTTCTGGTAAAAATATTTGTATCAACTACCACCCATTGTAACACCATTTGTCACAATATTTTGCCAAATAAATCAGATTCTGGTTCTGAAGAAGAATGGGAGGCGTTAACCTTGATGGCTCGAGGTTAAATGTGGATTATGTCATGTTGGATATATGTAATTGTGTAACTGTTGAAGACAGTTAATGTTTACTTTACTTAACCTATGGTATACATGTTCACCTTTCATCTCCCCTACCATCTGACGCACTACTCTAGCACCGCGCGCTCATTAGTCAAATCAAACAGCGCGCGCTTCCATGGCTTCCTGTTACACTTCAGTCCCGTTTCACGAAATCACTGCCACAAATTGCAGGAAATCGAGGGGAAGAAGTTACACATCAAAAATTTAAAACGAATGTTGACACTTGTCTGTGGAAAAGGGATTATTACAACATAGACTTACAAATAGGTACGTGATATCTTTAGTGTTACGTGTCGTAAAAAATATCAGTCTGTCTGGTAGATCTCGTTTCATCAACAGCCTTTAATAGTCCACTGCTGGACATAGGCCTCTCCTTAGAAAGGAGGTTTTGGCCTATACTATACCACGCTAGCCAGACGGGTTGGTATAGGGTTTGTGTCAAGTTTTCCTTCTCTCTGCAGTGCTGTTTAGTAGATCTCATTTAGTATATAGTAATAGGTTTGCGGTTTAAGTGACATGTTTAACCCCCGAAAAAGGTGTGGTTAAAAGTTTAACGTGTTTATCTTTATGTGTCTGTGGCTTCATAGCTCCTAAATGTAAGTGATGGATGGATTTTGTTTACATTCTTTGGTTTGAAATGTGACAAGATCGAGGTTTTTGTTAACATAACATAGATATACGTTAAAAAAAATTCAAGTTATTGTCTCTTCCCCAGTAGTGGTTTTAGAAATTTTAAATATATCTTTGTAGCGAGATGCTCCTTTAAATTATCGGAGTAAATTATACACAAGACTATCCATATTTCCTGATAAACGTCTTTATATTCATGACTAGCTTTTTCTACAAACAGTTTTTTTTTATTTGTTGTAGTTTTAATTTAAGTTACAAATATTCCCGTACTAATTATTGGTGCGTGCATTTTAAGTATCTTTTACATAGCACATTCAAATTCTTACAAGGAACCGGGAAGTTCTTCTGTATACAGAATCAGAAGCAAAAACTGAACGCAGAATCAATTAGTTTGACAATTCACAACAGCTGATTCCATAACCTATAAAGTTGCACGTAAACATTGAAATTTAAGCAAAAATGCGATATTTATCTCGTTTATTTCAGCCTTTTATCACAATACCAAAGAATGCTACGCTCAAAAACACTGAAATAACATGCAAAAGTCAAAAGGTAAGTAAAATTCTATGGTGTTTATACTTTTCTGTAGACATTATTTTTACATTGCAGAATTATCATAGGTATTTGATAAATGGTATTTATTTCTGTAAGTAAATCTTTTCAGATATTTTTACAAGTCGGACTTTACAGCTAGATGGAGCCGGCAGGACTGCATGCATTTGACTGTGTACTTAGAGTTTCTCGTCAGTATCTTCATCTATGAATTCAAGCAAGCTTTACGAGAAGCTATTCAGCTTCACGACTAAATGAGTCTGAATGACTTCTACTGCTCACAATTGAAAAAAAAAACAAATATATTCCATCACTTTTTTTTCAGCTTCTCCTAGAATGTGGTCTTATACGCCCCACCAGTTCCGGTCTTTTCGCAATACTGCCACTAGCTCGACGAGCACTAGATAAGCTTGAATCACAGATTAGACTGTGTATCGAAGAGGCGGGGGCACAGCGGGTGTCTCTACCGTCTTTAACAGCTGCCTCCTTGTGGGAGAAGACGGGTAGACTGCAAGCTGTAGGACCAGAGTTAATGAAAATGGAAGATAGACATGGCAAAAAGTATTTGTTAGCTCCGGTGAGGTTCTTAATAATCTTTTACACACATTAAACACATACATATAATCACAATTGTACGTCTGAATGTTAGTCGAGAAACTTATTGAACAGCCACATTTTCCAATATTTTCTTTTCACATCATCACATCAACAGCCTTTAATAGTCCACTGCTGGACAAAGGCCTTTCCTTAGAAAGGAGGTTTTGGCCTACTGTTGTCCTGCGTACTTTAATCCCTTAGTCAGCTCTTACGACACGCACGGGATTAATAGGGATGGTGACACTCTGTATTATTAATCCGTCACCACACGGACATCTTAATCCGTACATCTTAATCACCACACGGACAACACTTATGTTCATTTAAACTATATATATTACTAACTGTGCTGAATGCAACTTGATTTAATTTACTTATTTGTATTAACATCAATTTATTATTATTAACTTAGTTTTATTGGTTTAATCATAGAATGAAATGAACGGAATGCATCAACAAATTGCATTATATTAAGACTATATAATATAATATTCTCACACATTTTACACACGGCTGCCTGATCCCAAACTAGTCAGAGCCTGTACTATGGTAACCAGACTTCTGATAAACATATGTATATATTTATAAATACATACATATTAAAGATAAAGTACACCCAGACACAGAACAAATGACCGTGCTTATCACACAATTATTTGTTCTGGGTGGGAATCGAACCCACGACCTCTGGCGTAGCAGACAGGATCACTTACCACTAGACCATCAGGCCAGTCGACTCTAAATACAACAAATGAATATTATTTTTGTTACAGACACATGAAGAGGCATTAGCGGATCTGTTTGCAGATGTTGGTCCTTTATCTTATAAACAGCTTCCATTGCTACTGTATCAGGTTAGCATCTTTTTTTTTAAAAGACAACTTCCGCATTAGGAATATATCCTGTGTCGCTTGGACTTTACAAACATACATGAAACGGACACAAAGAACACCCAGACTCAGAACGACAATTTGTGGATCGCACAAAGTGTCGTCCCATGTGGGGTTTGAGCCCATAACACTCGGCGTAGTAGGAAGCGGCGTGGTGACCTCTTTAACCACTACACCATCCGTGCAGTCAAGCATCTAATATATATATATATAATATATTGTACCACATTCACACAACGCCATCTAGTCCCAAACTAAGCAGAGCTTGTACTATGGGTACTAGACAACTGATATAAATACATTTATACTTTTTTTTTCGTAAATACATACATATTATACATAGAAACACCCAGACCAAATCAAACATCAAATGTTCATGCACCCAAATGTTTGACTTGAGCGGGAATCGAACCCGCCAAATATCATAATATCAAATAATCATGGTTTTATTCTTCTTATAATTGAATGGCTCCATTGATTTTCATCGTCAAGGTGGAAGGTCAGTCAGTTAATAGATTTAGACAATGGGGAATTTGCTGTGTGGTGACGGATTAAGAATACGGAGTGTCACCACCCCCATTCATACCGTGGGTGTCGTAAGAGCCGACTAATTGAACTAACTACGTAGGACAACAGCACTGCAAAGAGAAGAAAAACTTGAAACAAACCCTATACCAACCCGTCTGGCCAGCATGGTATAGTAGGCCAAAATCTCTTTTCTACGGAGAGGCTTATGTCCAGCAGTGCACTATTAAAGGCTGTTGATGAAGACAATGAGGGGATTGTTGTGATATGAACAGTTTGTGATAATCATGTTTTTAAAATTCAACTATTTTAGGAGTGTGATAAAAAGCTCCTCCTCCTAGCGCCATCTATTGTTTCATGGACGTAAATGAGGGAGCGACATCTAGCGTCGAGAAACACAACAATCTTTTTGGGCATAACACGTTGTTAATATGTAAAGAATATAAGCATAGAGTGAACAAGAGCCCAAATCTTGCAATATAGGCAACGAGAGAGATGGATAATAGATTGTTCTCTCTATCTCTTTCTAGTCGATTTCTGTGGTTGGCTGGAGAAAATGAGGGGTCAATAAGTAGCCAATCGCAGCTTAGCTAAACAGAGACAGAGGGAAATATCGGGCATCCATCTCTCTCGTTGCAGGAAAATTTCTTATAAATTGTTCCAGATTAGCAATAAATATAGAGACGAACACCGCCCCAAGCATGGTATGCTGCGAGCCAGAGAGTTCTCCATGTTGGACGCGTATGGGGCCCATGACTCCATGGACAGCGCCCTGCAGGTGTACGGAACTGTGACTGAGGCGTACCAGCGCCTATTCAGCAGACTCCACCTGCAAGTACACAGAGGTGAGGTACCAGGCGCTCAGTACAGCCGAGGAGGTTTCTGTTAACAAAATTATGTTATGACAATTGAGAAACGGATCCTACTCAAATATAAATAACTTTGAAAGTTTCTAACTTTGAAAATTTCCATACAACCGTTCATTCCTTATTTTACCCCCATAGGGGTGAAATTTCCAAAAATCCTTTCTTGATGGGTGCTTACAACATAAAAAGCATCATCAGATTATCCTAAAGAGGAAGACAGGTCTATTGGTATTTAAATCATCATCAACAGCCTGTAACAGTCCACTGCTGGACATAGGCCTCTCCTTAGAAAGGAGGTTTTGGCCTACTATACCACGCTGTTCAGACGGGTTGGTATAGGGTTTGTGTCAAGTTTTCCTTCTCTTTGCAGTATTGTTGTCCTGCGTAGTTTGCTCCCTTAGTCGGCTCTTACGACACCCACGGGATGAATAGGGGTGGTGACACTCAGTATTCTTAATCCGTCACCACACGGACTGTTTTTTTTTTCTTAAATAAGTAATTAAAAAAAAAATTTATAATTCACAGTGTCAGCGCCATCTGGTGACATGGGTGGTTCAGTATCCCACGAGTGGCAGCTGCCGGCCGCCGCTGGAGAAGACCAGTTGGGGGTCTGCGAGAACTGTCAGCATGCCACTCTAGACAGCGGCGAGACTTGTACCCAGTGCGGGAAAACGGTCCAAAATGTTAATAGTATTGAGGTATGTGATATGAGGACGACCTCCCCCCACCCAATAGGCCGGCTCGACCGTAGTGGTACCACAGCCTCACAAATAACTAATTATTAAGCAATTATCATATTAATAATTATCATATTTATCTATACTTGTTTCAAATGTTTGTTTGATTGTTTGTTTCTTACGCATAAACCACTAAACCGATTTTAAAAATTCTGTCATCAATAGAAAGCGAGTAACATAGACTACTTTTTACTGCGATCACCGGCATATACACGGGCGGAGCCGCGGGCAAAACCTAGTAATTAATAAAACCTAATATCCTAATACGGAAGTTGTCTTTTTGCAGTTTTTTTGTACATCTAACACACAACGCCATCTAGTTTCAAACTAAGCAGAACTTGTACTATAAAAGCTAGATTGACTGATAGAATACTTATTTACTTTTTTTTTGTAAATACACATATATTATACATGGAAAACACCCAAACTCCGAAACAAATATTTGCAGATTGCATACAAACGTTTGGGCCGACCCGGAAATCGAACCTGAGACCTCAGCGCAGCAGTCGCATACGCTACCACTGCACCACCAGTCACATAAAAAATAAAATGCAATATTTTTTGTGTTTTCTATGTATAATATGTACGTATTAGCGAAAAAAAGTTTTTAAGTATTCTATCAGTCAATCTAGCTTTCATAGTACAAACTCTGCTTAGTTTCAGACTAGATGGCGTTGGGTGTCAGATTGCCGATATGTTTATTTATTTAATTAATTAATTCTGTATCGCGCAATGACAATTCACCACCTAATTCAGCACGAACTTTGTAATATTATCGTTAAGCCGCAGTCCACCAGGTACGATAAGTCCTCGTCTGGTCTTAGGATCCACTCGGTTTTATGATGTATGGGAAAAACAAGCAAACGACTTACCTGATGATAAGTGACAACTTCCGCTCATGGAAGTCTGCAACTCCGGAGACACTAGTGCACTGTCGCTATTTGATAACTTGCCCCATCTCTTGTAGGGGAAGGGATACCTCCAAGGATGGTAGGAGGGGAGAGAAGGTCTCCAGTAACCAAACTCAGTCGGTGAAATACAAAGAAAAAAAAAACAGTGTTCTGACAGAAGTGTAAGGTTGAAAATATTTGATTATAACAGACAAAAAAAATGTTTTCTTGTTGACATGAATATATGTTTATGTTGTACGTATATACACAATTTATGTTTAAATTAATTATAGAGATATTATCAATGTATTTCAACACAAACTCAGCTCTCGTGTAAACGGGGCTAATATATGTAATTACTTATATACAGAGGTGTCGGTAACGGTAACAGAGTCGCGAGTTCAATGGTTTTTTTCCATCTGAAATACATTCTTTTGTTTGTTGTTCGAAAATGCCCAACGTCTCTAAAGAAGTTTTCACTTCAAAAATTACTTAACATCTATTTTCTGTGAGGCTGATGTGCCACTCCGGTTTTAACCACGTTCCTATACCCTCCAAAGGGATCTTACAATAGTGGCTGACTTGCTTTCTACTATGTATTTTAACGGAGACTTTTTGGGTGTTCCCCAGGTGGGACACACATTCATCTTAGGAACTAAGTACAGCTCACCTCTTCAAGCTCACCACACGCCCTCCAGTGGGCCGCCAGAACCGATCATCATGTCTTGCTACGGCATTGGTATTACCAGGTAACCAATCTCCACCCTGCCTATTTGTACTCAAGTTTCGATTGCTTCTTTTTTGTGGTTTGAAGGGGGAAACCAAGCGGTCCTGACACTTGATGGTAAGTCATAAGTGCGTTGTCGCCTTTTCAATCCGTCTCTTCTACTCCAAATTCAGGTAGAGGTGGTTTGAGTGCTGATAACCTCAGTTACTAGGTAAATAGCGACAAAAGATAAACTGCTCAATACCGGTTTGGGGCTATCCATAAATTACGTCACGCGTTATGGGGGGGTCATCGAAATCTGACAAGAGCTGGGAGGTGCCCTAAGTTTTGTGACGTCACATTTCAAAATCTAATATATTATCTAAGTATTAAAATGCAAAATGAATAATTGTCAGTAAAATCCTTTTGTTAATTTTTTCAATAGTTTGTTTTGGTGTTGATTTCATTAAAAATAACTTAAATTGTAATAATTCTGGAACTGCTATTTTAATTTAACGATTTCTAGATGTAAAATCTCCTTAGAAAAGAGGTTTTGGCTTACTATACCACGCTGGCCAGACGGGTTGGTATAGGGTTTCTCCTCCGGGTCCTTCTCTCTGCAGTCCTGTTGACCTGCGTAGTTTGCTCCCTTAGTCGCCTCTTACGACACCCACGGGATGAATAGGGGTGGTGACACTATGTATTCTTAATCCGTCACCAGTAGTGGTCTAGTAAAGGCTGTTGATGATGATGAGATGTAAAATTGGAAAATATGTACAAAGTCATGAAATTAATAATAATAATATAATAATAATAACGCTTTATTGGAAACTAGAACAAAGGAAACAGTAACATTTTATGCGAAAGTGTCTGCATTAGTTAAGAGAACTGTGTCGCAGACATTAACGCCACCTCCAGCCTGAGGCCGTCTGAGTTCCATTAATAACCGTATAAAATAAATTAACAAAAGAAAACTAAACCAAATCAGATCATAAATTGTTAGTAAGTCTGTGTGTATATATATATATATATGTGTGTGTGTGTGTGTGTGTGTGTGTGTGTGTGTGTGTGTGTGTATGTGTATGTGAGTGTGTGTTACTGAGAGAGTGGAGAGTTTTGGTGGAAATTTCTATTTGCAATTATGTGGTTTAGCCATAAGTTCAAGTTCTTCATAGTTCAGGGTGTGCAGCCATTGATTTTTAACTAACTTGCAAGTCCTAAGCGTAACTGGATTGACATTCAGTATTCTATTTACTCGGTTGTATATAACAGGGCTAATAAAATGATATTGACGCTTAAGGATCTCAAACCTGGCCACCTCAATATGACACACCCTATCCGACCTCCGTATCCGGGAAATAGATACCGCGTCAAATGGCAATTCTGCATGCTTGCGCAGTATGGTGCTCAGCAAGAATGAGTGTCTGACTGTAGGGAGTTTACATAGGTCTTAGAGCTCCTTGGTTGGGAAACGAATAGGCTTACGTGTCATAACTTTCAGCACAGCCCGCTGCGACCGTTCCAAAGGCAGCATTAAGGATTTTACTGAGCCACCCCATGCAGTAACACAGTAAGTCAACATAGAGTGAGCGAGAGCAAAATAAACCATTTTCAGTGTTTGTAGGTTGGCAGCCGTTCTTAAATGTTTGAATACAAATATTAATTTACGAACTCTTGGCACCAATGATCTAATTTGCTCCTTCCAGGTTAACATACTATCCACGTACACACCAAGGTATTTGATAAAATCTGTGCGTTTAATAGCAATACAATTACAGTTTTGAGTAGTAGAACACAGGTGGGCACTTAGGGAAAAAGAAGAGGGCTGCTGAGATGCAATTCTTGGAGAAAAAGTGATGAATTTCGTTTTTTCTAAGTTGAGTGTAAGAAGGTTATTGGCTAGTCAATTCATAATGGTTTGCAGAGCAGATACAGCAAAAGAACGTGCATCATCCCAACTTTTACCATGAATCAGTAATACTGTATCATCTGCGTAGGTAATAATTTTAGCGTTAGATGGGGAAAGCTTGCACAGATCATTCGTGTGACGTAATTTATAAATGACCCCTTTTCTGAAAGCTGACCCATGATTGTGCTGCAGCATGACTCTCCCACGGCAGAACGGTTCTAAAAGTTTGACATAAATTTTACACCAATAATTTAAAATACGACTCTACGAGCTTAGTAATTGAGAGCAAATTCCATTGAAAATAAATCAAGCCTAACCCCTGCTTCTGGGGTTGGACACTCAAAGACTTACAATACACTTGTGACTCTTTGAGATGCAGGTGTCTACGGAGGGCGGTAGACACTTGCCAGCAGGTGACCGGTTTGCTCGTTTGCCACCTGTCATTTTGTAAGCTAACAAGTGTTTTGTCCACAGGTTGCTGGCGGCTAGTCTAGAAGCACTCTCCAGCGAGAAGAGCCTAAGGTGGCCTAAACCCATCGCTCCGTACAGCATCTGCATCATAGGTCCTAAGGCAAGTGACTATAATCCACGACATAAAATCCCAAAGAGTATTCAAGACTTTAGTATAAACAAAGTCCAATCAACAAAAAAACGTAAATTGTGTCAGAAAGCCTTTTACTCAATCGTGGATTACATAGAAGACAAGAATGCTTTGGATTAATTTAGCACAGGCTATTTCGTAGTGGAAATGTGATGTGGGCTAGTGTGTCTTTAATTTATTCTTCTCCATTTTTTAATGTTCACTTCAATTTCTTTTTTATTCCATGTTCTTTCTATATCTTGTTTTCTCTTCATTGCCTTTTTACTTTTTAGTCCTTAAAACTTACATACTGGCACAGATTAAAACAATGTTGTGTATATTTAATGATGACATTGTATGTCCAGCAGTGGACTATTAAGGATGTTGATGATAATCTATCCGAAAATTAAAAAAGAGTGGCCGTGAATTGGTTTGCTCTTCCTTCTCACGAGGTTAAACCCCTTGGAAATGGGCGGTTGTAAATCCTCAGCTCAGATCACCAGGCACTCACCCTTCTAAACTACCTATTTGCTGTCAGTACATTACTAATTCAAGAAAATACATATAAAGTTAATATCAGAGAAGATATAAAATTACAAAGATACCAATTTATGAATACGAAATAAATAATGAAAAAAAAATATACTCATCTGTTCTTCACAGGAAGGTTCCAGGGAGTGGCAGTCCCACGGCTGGGACGCCATCTGCCGGCTGCACGACACAATCTCCCACTCGACGGAGTACAAAAATGATATCGTAGTAGACGACCGTCATAACCTGACTATCGGCAAGAGACTCATGATGGCTGACAGGTATAACATTGGTCTATTTAGGTTTTGAAAGTTTGGAGTGGTCGCCCATCCTATTTTGACCCTCAACACTATACTTAATATTGAAAATAAAGTTCATTGGAAAAAAAACGATAATCCCATGGTAGATTACAGTCAAACGAAATAAATTTGACATACGTCAAAGAACATTGTGACGTCACACTTTAACTTGATTTAATATCTTATGTCCCCGAGATGGGGCAGAGGGCCTCCACAGGACAGGGACGTCACACTGCTATCGTCAAATTATTGATTTTTAGAATTTGGCTTGAATTTTGTATTTGTTAAGGTCTCGGTGTTAAATAAAAGTGGACTGTATGTTGCGCTGGTTTTTAATGATCACAAGGATTACGTTGAAGGAGCAGTGATCCCGTTCGAGTATATAAGGCGAGTGCCGTACATAATAGCAATCTTGGTGGGAGCCGTTGCGTCCGCGCCCCCGCTTCTCGCTGCCTCCCCGTCACCCGCGCCGCACGTCGTTTGCGCGGTTCAGCCGCTTGTAAGCACCGGCAAACCGTGATGTCGAGGATCGAGGTTTGATTCTCGACATATTCCCCCCAGGATGAGGAATCAAGAGTCTTGAGCTGGAAGAGGGCAAATATTATTAAAGGCTCTTCGTATGATGCCTCTCTTCGTCTTAATCTCGGCGACACGACTGATCCCATCGACACCAGGATAAACCTTGATGATCCTTCCTAGAGGCCACACTAATGGTGGAAGGGTGAAATCCTTAATGAGGACTAAGTCGTTGGGTTTAAGCTCGTTGCGTGAAGACGTAAGCCACTTCGTCCGCTGTTGAAGAGTGGAGATGTATTCCTTTCTGAAACGGACCCAAAAATGTTGTCGGATGTACTCAATCCTTTTGTAGCGGTCAATGATGGTAACATCTTTCTCCAAAACTTGTGGATGTGGATAAGTAGTGAGTGGTCGTCCTATTAAAAAGTGAGCGGGAGTAAGAGCAGTAAAGTCGAGGGGGTCTGTGGAAAGATGAGTGAGGGGACGAGAATTTAAAATAGCCTCGATTTGAGCCAAACAGGTAGCCATCTGCTCGTAGGTAAAATTAACGGCTTGTAATTGACGCCTAAGATGATACTTTGTTGAGCGGACAGCTGCCTCAGCCATTCCATTAAAATGTGGGCTATAAGGAGGAGTGAATTTAAAATCAATGCCTTCCTGGGCCATGTCATGTTGAATATTAGATTCAAGAAGAAACCTTTGTAGATCATTGGATGCGCCAACAAAGTTCGTTCCGTTATCAGAGGAGACACTTTGTGGCTTCCCCCTCCGAGCGATGAAACGGTTCAAAGCGGCTATAAATGCTTCCTTCGTAAGTTCTGTAACAAGCTCCAAATGTATAGCTTTAACAGAAAAGCATACAAAAATACACAAATAGGACTTCAAGAGCCTGCAGCCTCTACCTTTGCGGTCAGCTATCAGCACCGGTCCAGCATAGTCTACGCCACAATGCAGGAAAGGAAACTCTAAATTTGTTCTGTTAAGAGGAAGTTGGCCCATTAAGGGTTGCACTGTTTGAGCCTTAACCCTAAAACATTTCAAACAGTTATGGACTGTCACTTTAGACAAATTTCTGCCGTTCAGCGGCCAATAGATTTGACGAATATTTGATAATAGAGATTGTGGGCCTGAATGTAATAAGTTAATATGGTAAGTTTGAAATATCAATTTTGTAAATTGATGTTTGCTACAAATCAAAATTGGATGTTTAACGTTATAACAGTAAGGTGAATTATCTAATCTACCACCTACACGAATGATCTGGTTTTCATCTACGAATGGTGACAAAGACAGTAATCGATTTTTTCTAGGAAGAGTCCTTCCTGCTCTTAGGATAAGAGACTCAATAGGAAACATCTCAGACTGAGCATATAGAACAATAATATTCAATGATTGTTGTAATTCTATATTGTTAAGACTATTGGTAAGCTTTTTTGATTCTTTTTTATTTTTTAAATTAAATATAAATCTTAGTATGTAAGCCACTACTCTTTGTAATTTATGAAAATTGGAATATTTATTAATAAGATAAGATATTATGTTACAGTTTTCATTATTTTTATTTGATATTTTATTTGTAGATAGACATATTTTTTCTTCGCGTACTAATTTATTGGATTTATTTGTGTTTGGCATTTGGGGCCATTGAGACGGGTCTAACAAAAGAAATTCAGGACCTCGCCACCACAACAATGAATGTTTTAATTGATCTGCTGGTAAGCCTCGCGATACAAGGTCAGCAGGATTTAATTTAGATGGCACGTATCTCCAGGTGTGGCCTAAAGTTTTTTCCTGAATTTCGTTTATACGATTACAAACGAACTGTTTATATTGATTAGGCTGCGATGATAGCCAACCTAATACTACAGTCGAGTCGCACCAGAAATGACTTAATTTAATATTTAATGTTAGTGCGGACACAACTTTAAAATACAGCCTTGCACCTAACAGAGCACCGCATAATTCCAGTCGCGGAATAGTGATTGGTTTTATAGGGGCAACCCTATTCTTTGACGCTAGTAACTGCACATTAACGTTACCTAAACTGTCCGACGATCTAATGTATATACATGCACCGTATGCATTCTCTGAAGCGTCTGTAAAAACGTGAATGTCGATTCTTTGACAATCATTACAAACAACCCAACGAGGTATATTTAAGGTATTAAGATGGTATAATTTATTTACAAAAGCAAGCCACAAATTATTTATTTCATCAGATAATTTTTGATCCCATGAATAGTTTTTTATCCATAATTGTTGCATGACCATTTTACCTTCTACAACACATGGCCCTATCAATCCTAGTGGGTCGAAGATTTGGCCGATTATGGAAAGAATATGTCTTTTGGTTATTTTTCTATTATTGTCAATTTTTATAGAAAATGAAAAAGTATCTGCACTAGGCTCCCAATTTAATCCTAAAGTTTTTGTTTGTTCTTTAGATTTCGCATCTGTAAAATCCCTAATAGAAGAAGGCTCACAAGTAGAAATAGCTCTCAATACATCAATGCTATTTGACTGCCATTTCCGAAGATTAAATTTTGCACTTGATAATGCTGAAATCACACCTTTACACAGCTTTACTGTCGCGTCGACTGTAGAACCTCCGTCTAAATAGTCATCGATATAAAAGTTGTGCTTAATCGCGTATTTAACATCATCATCATCTGTGGTAGATGCCAAACTTAATAAACATTTTGTGGCTAAGTAAGGCGCTGACGTCATGCCATACGTAAGCGTATTTAATGTATAAGTTTTTAATGGTTGAGAAGAATTGTAACGAAAAATGATTTGTTGTAAATATCGTTGATTCGGATTAATTTCTATTGCACGATACATCTTTTCAATATCTCCGGATACAACATATTTATGCTGTCGAAAGCGTAAAATAATAGAAAATAGATCGTCTTGTATCGTTGGGCCCAACATTTGCAAGTCATTCAATGAAACTCCTGTTGTGGTGGCAGCGGAGCCATCAAACACCGTACGTAGCTTCGTAGTGGTACTCGACTCGCGAATGACGCCGTGGTGAGGTAAAAAATAACTTATATTTGAACCGCTACTAGTAAACAATTTATTGTTCTCGGTCATGTGTCCCAAAGACTCGTATTCATGCATAAAAGCTATGTATTTTTCTTTGAAATTATGATCACGAGTAAATTTACGCTCTAACGCTAAAAAACGAATTTTCGCCATATGAAATGAGTCACCCAAAATAAGAGGATCACATTTCAGAGGCATGGTTACGACAAAACGACCGTCATCATTACGATAGGTGTTATCAGCAAAACTTTGTTCACAAGCTTTTTCTTCTAATGACAAAGAATGCTCGGCCTGAAGTGTATCCAATTCCCAAAAACGGGAAAGATCGGGATTAGAGTCAACCTGGGACAAAAGACAGAGGTTAGAGGAATGTGGCATCGCTGCGATATGTTTAGTGACTAACCACCCTAACTTTGACTCCCGCAATACTGGCCTATTTTTACCTAGGTCAATAGATTCTCTGCCTAATACATCCCAAAATACGTCCGCACTCAGGAGAATGTCTATACTCGAGGGAACGTTGTAAGAAGGATCGGCTAAAGAAAGACCTACTGGTAGACGCATGTTACTGGTGTCTATATATGATGATGGAATCGGTGGGGTTATTGCAGGGAAAACAACACAGTTTATATCTACGCTATAGTCACTACAAAGGGATTTAATTGTGATGTTACAAGTTTGCGTGCTAGAGGTTAAATAGTTATTAAAACCCGATACCGCCGTAGTCACGCTGCGTAGTGGCAATTGCAACATATCAGCGCGGGATTGCGATATAAGATTAATCGCGCTGCCGTTGTCCAGCAATACTCTGGCGTTGTGTTCTTTGTTGTTGCCATCAATCACTCGTACGACCGCTGTGGATAGAAACACACGAGAAGCAGTAGTGTCTGTGATAGTATCACTAGTTAGTATGACGCCCTCACTGTGAGACTTGGAAGAACCAAGCATAGCATCGGTACGTTCGAGGTGTAACAAAGTACTATGTTTATATTTGCAGTATTTACAGTGAGTCAAGTTACATTTATTACTCGTATGGCCAGGACGTAGGCAATTTAAACAAACTTTGTACTGCTTAGCTTTGTCTATGCGAGCTTCTACAGTAAGTGCCCTAAAAGATTCACAATTAAATAAGTAATGTGACTGATCGCACATGGGACATTGTACGGAACTGGTTTTACAATCATTATTTTCACTTAATTTGGATTTAAACTTGTTGTTTATGTTGTAAGAGATTGAACGGTTATCGTGTTCATCCAAACTTTCTAATAAATCAGCCCTATTTCTTAAAAAGGAAAGGAAGATGTCTAAGGTTGGACTATCACTCATCTTGTTTCTATGTTCTTCCCAGTGACGCAGGGTAATTTTATCTAATTTAGAAGACATCATAAAAATAATTAAAGTGTCCCAGTACTGAGTAGGCTGATTTAATGTAGTAAGTGCTCTAATGTTCTTAGTAGTAGTATCAATAAGATAATGGATAGACTTACAGGATTCTTTATGTAAAGGGTCAATGCTAAATAATGCCTGTACATGGTTGTTAACGAGTAAACGATTATTATCGTAACGCTCCAATAATAAATCCCACGCAATTTTATAGTTGTCACTCGAAACATGAATATGTTTAATAATGAAGGCCGCGCTCCCATGAAGAGAAGCGCGTAGGTAATAAAATTTGTTTACGTTCTCTATGTTTTTATTGTTATGGATAATTGATGTAAAAGTATCCCTAAACTCAAGCCAGTGCTGATAGCTACCGCTGAAATGAGGTAAATCTATTTTAGGCAACCTAACGTGGCAAATCTTGGAATCGTCACCTGATATAGCATCATTGAAGCTTGCTACAGATTCACGACGTTTATTCGAAGAGAGAAGGCAGCGCGCACACGCTACTAATGCGAAATATTCATTCTCGAAATGCTCACGCTCGGAGATGGACTCGTCTTCCTCACCGCTGGACTCATCACAAAGTGCCTCGATCTCATCCTGTAACGTATCGAATTCGCAATTTAAATTTTCAATTTTGCTTAAACGGCATTCCAACTCAGCAGTTTGCAGTTCACTAAGGCTTTTACAGCTTTTAAGGATATTAAGATGTTTGTTGAAGGTAGTAAGCTTTGATTTTAAGGCAGATCTTTTCTTAATTAATGTTTTAATATGATCAGGCATGATGAAAGGCCGTGGAAAAGATTTATAAACTAATAAAACGATTAACTTATAGTTATTTAGTAAGCAAATATGTTTAAAAATAAAATGAATAAGATGAACTATTAAAATAAAGGGTATTTATGAAGACTCGTAATAAAATAATACAAAGAATAGCTGTCCGCTAACAAAAGCCACGTGCGTAGCCGGCGTAACAAACCGGTTTTGCAAATGCGACGATGAATATATAAGCGAAACAACGATGTTAAATTTAATACTATTTATATTTATCTGTAACGTAAAATGTGTTTGATTTCTAATGAAACTTTAACAATGCTAAAAACTTTATGTTAAGTTTAAGATGGCTGCGATGGCTGGCTCAACTTGGCTATTTGAAGCAAGGCAGGAAAGAGATTTAAAAAATATGTGGTAAAAGAGATAAGCAGGAGTAAAAAGGAAAATGGAACGAACTCACAGAATGTCTTATCCAACCACTATATTCTTCTCTTCGTCTTCGTCTTTCAAATGTCCTCTGTCGTTGAAAAGGCCAACACGACTCGAAAAAGAGGGTCGAAGTCCGCTCGTCCACCGTATTTCTACTTGTAAACACTATCGCGAAGGACCAAATTGTTAAGGTCTCGGTGTTAAATAAAAGTGGACTGTATGTTGCGCTGGTTTTTAATGATCACAAGGATTACGTTGAAGGAGCAGTGATCCCGTTCGAGTATATAAGGCGAGTGCCGTACATAATAGCAATCTTGGTGGGAGCCGTTGCGTCCGCGCCCCCGCTTCTCGCTGCCTCCCCGTCACCCGCGCCGCACGTCGTTTGCGCGGTTCAGCCGCTTGTAAGCACCGGCAAACCGTGATGTCGAGGATCGAGGTTTGATTCTCGACAGTATTATTAAACTTTACGTTCTTAATTTTTGGTATAAAAATAGAAAAATGCGTCATTCTGATTATAGTACCGCTACTTCCTACAAGATAGCGCTTTTTACCCTAATCCTTCTACTGTATAAGAACGATTTGTCTTTTTCACAGTTTAGTCATAATTCTTTTATGTAACAACAGATGGCGCTGTTAACAATTCTCATAATTTCTTTTCTCCACAGAATGGGTTACCCGTACATCGTGGTATGCGGCAGATCTACCCAAGAATCTCCCCCAAAGTATGAAGTGTACACTTCTGATGCTGTCAGCACCACGAGCGTTCAACTGCTGACTTTGGACGATTTGATATGTTTTACTGGGAACGGGAGAAACGATCAAAATAAAATAAAGACTAACGCTTAAATAAAATGTTTTATTTACTTCAAAGTATACTCGGTTTTTCTTCGGAACTGGCCCACTGCCAGTGTTTGGGCCTGATCTGATGGAAAGAGGTTATAACACGTCAACTTGACACCGGAATTGTCCGGTCAACAGCATTGTATGGTGCACACACCACTGCCGCCCTGAGCGTTTCCGCGGGTGAACGTCGACTATACCGTCCGTATTTGCTCTCCATTCGCAAGTGGTCAACCGTGACATCCCCGTGACAGCTTTCTTTTTTTTTTAACGCGGGGAATGCTTTTCGCAGCATACCCTCCGTTGGCAGTCGGGAGGAGCTCTAGGAACGCATCGGTGGCTTCTGGAGTCCTCCCTGCCGTACCCCATGTCTGAGGCACATCCCGGGGTGACTATCCCCGTGTACCTAGACCAAACCTTATTGATAATTTTTCCTCGAAGGTGGTGCTTTAGCGGGCAGACACTGGAAGGAATTTAGACGTTTTAAAATGCTCATCCCTCCTATTTTAGACACAGTATAACATACCGTGAGGTTCAGGACAAATTCCCAGGGATTCCCAAACTATTTTGAGCAATGGACCCCTTTTCTAAAATAAACTGATTTCCCAGACCATAGCCAAATTACTGCACGCTTATCGACTTGTTTAAATTATCAGTCAACCTTATAACAAGTCGATACACGCAACACGACTATTACAGTATCTTGAAAGTTTTAAATGAGAGCTTGTGTTAATTAATAGGGATCGATTTTTAGACCTCGGACCTTTTAAACCCAGAAACCGATTTTGACCCCAAGGGGCCGATATTGACCACTTTGGGAATCCCTGCACTACACAACAGATTTGTTAAGAAAAAGAAGGCAGCATCGCAATCTGACGCCTTTAATTTAATCAGAAATCTGTCATGCCTTGAATTGAACTATAGATAGTTCAACTCAGTTGTGCGCGCGGCCTTAGTGACGCGGTGCTCGGACGACGACTGCCACACGAATGAAAGTTGTATATTTACAAGCCCACGCACACATAGGGCTTCGCGCACAACTGAGTTGAACTATCTATATCAATCTTAAATAGTTGTTTTATATTTTTAATTACTTTAGCATTTAATATGTCTCATTTATCTACAATTCCTCCTTTTTTCGTGTCTGCCCCATGTGTAACATTTTAGGATAGACTATAGTTTCTTTTATGATATATTTAATATTATATTTAAATCTATAATTAATCGTTTTTAGACGGAACATTAGAAGGTAATTAGGGGTAACGGAAACAAATAGACAAGGGTAGAGACGTGACGGTCTGGAATATTGTCCAACCAAGTTGAATCACTTTTGACAATTCGTGTGAATCGGTTCCAAACCGAATAGTTGATATTGCAGTAAACCATGGTTGAACCGTATGATGGTGCAACATGAATTGACGGGGTCAATTAAACCATCGTTTTACGGTTTGCAACCGAGTTTACATACAAGTGTAAAACTTAACATTACCTACACTAACCGACAGCCGATGCGGTGACGGTATCAGGTGATTGGCAGTTTGTCGACAGCTAAGGGCAATACAACAAACTGCCCAGTCAAGTAACACGATTAACATGCAGGCCTTCTTTTGTTCTCATTTGGTGGATAAAAGAAAGATATGTCCGTTAGACCTAACCGTTAGTAAATCGGTTTATGTATTAAATTATTATGAAACGACGCGCGCGAACTGTATTTGATTTTGTAGGGACATAACAATATCGTTTGTGCTTGTAGGTAAATTGATAAAGATATTAGTTGGTAGATGAATTAGTTTTGTTCGTCGGTAAAGAAGGAGCAGCGGTGCGATAGTACGACGCGAAGTGCAGCGCGGTCTTATGAAACGGTTTAAACCACGGGCAAAGCGATACAACTCGGTTAATGTTCAAACCGGTTTAAGTCGGTTTGAGAAGTCGAGTCGTCACACTACTAGATGAGGGACTTAGGGGATTAGGACAGAGCAGTTCGAGGATCCTGGAATCGCGGTTCTTTATGTCCGTACTGTCTAGCTGACATCACTGGCTATAATTAATAGTGTAAGTTCTAAAGTGAAATTTTGTTGGTCGTACCCACGCGGAGCAAATAAGCAGACGAGCAAACTAATAGTAATAGTGACCATCGCCGCACTTGGAGACATGCAATTCAAGAAAGTGCTTTGATAATTCTGGAGGAGGCACTTAAAGGGAATTTATCCACCAGAATTGGAGGACGAAAGGTAGGTAGATCTTCCGATAGGCTCACCCAGCGTTAATGTGTTTACGAGGAATAAAATGGATATTTTATAGTAATAAGTCAAGTGGACAAAGCGCTTGTGAATTTTGTTAACGTGGGAATTGACTGAAAACCATTCAGCAAATCGCCTTTGTCGAGTTGTTTGAGCAATCAATAATCGCCATAAACATTCCCATTACCCATCACTAAAGTCAAGTTGAAGTTTAGTCAGACCAGTCTGAACAGTGACTGAAACAAGATGAAATAAACGTACCTAGTAAAAACTACAACTTTGAATGGAATATATAATACAGATGCATAGATGGTAAAAAAAACAAAAGTGATTATAGAGATACAAAGAAAGAGTGTGGACTGGCTATTGAATTGATAATGGAAAAGCTTTCGCTGTGTAGAGTTTGTTTAGGAGAAGACGTTCGACTGAATTCGATTGTCGGCACTCATCTACAAGAAATGTACGAGTCGTTGGTTTTGATGCCGGTAAGTAATTGCAAAATTAATGTTTATATCTCCTGGTTGTAGTGTTTCTCTCTCTTGACACTATCTGATAGAGTCATCAATATTATTTGTAAATATCCTACAAGTTTCTCATGTACTTGATGTCCTGTGCAAACAACACAAACACAATCAGTTACCTATACTCAAGTTAATGCTTGTTGAAATACATATATCTTTGAGTGAGTTTAACTCAAAGATATATGTATTTCACTCTCTATGTGTGTCACTATTTGCTTATATTTTACTCCAATTTGAATGGATTAAAGTAACATAAGTATATACATATGTACTAAATATATATAAAAGGTCTATCTGCACATATACAGGGCCGTTCTCGGGCTGTGTTCGTGGCACAACCAGTGCTCCGTGTCACTTTAGGGCCTTTTTGTTCACACATTTTAGGAGTGAATCCAAGTTCAATCTTCACCCCTTAAGCACCGTATTCGTTTCTTAACACTTTAGTCTAATGTTCAGAGGTGAAATGAAATAGAATATAGACAAAATAATATTAATTATGATTTTATTTTATATGGCACAGTTGATAATGTTTACAATTGGGTTTAAATTTAAAGATAGTTAACCTTAAGTGCTTCTTTATTTTAATTTGTTTATTCAAGGACCGCACTACTGCAGGTAATATACAACTTCATAAGTGTATTTGCAGTTGGAAACCACAGATAACAAGCCTGTACTGGCTTGCTACATATGTTGTGCAAGGCTCAAGAACTGCTACGAGTTGAGGAAGAGCTGTCTCCAAAGTGAGGAGCTGTTCACACAAATGCTGAGCAGTAATGAGGTTGGTTATAGTTCCAAAGTTGGTTATTATTTAAAAATAATTACGATGACGTTTCCTAAAGGATTTGAATGACTTGATTACTATTTTTAAAACTATTTTCAATACAACAAAACTTCAATTGGTTTATAATATGTTTAGTGGTAATTAAAAACTAATTATTTTAAACTAGATGGTTTTTGGGCTTTAAAGAATTTAGTCTAAGATCTTACAGTTAGTTCACTTTAGTATTGGATGCTATAATGTACATACATGTTTCTTAAGCCCGCTTTTAAATGCATTTATACCGTCACCAACCTTTTTTTTGGCAGTTTGTTTATAAAAAAACTCCAAGTTGCTCCTACCGCTGACAAAGTTATGGCTTTAGTGTTCTGGGATAGTAAAGAAATTCTTTTCCGTTGGTTACATGCCGAAGGGACAGACTTATCACTGGACCCCATTTTGCAGATCTATCCGTAATTTTTTAATAGAAATTCATGTAACTTTTTGCGACTACTTTTACACTACTGTACTACTGTTTTTTTTCTGTATAACAACAGCCTATACTAGTCCACTGCTGGACATAGGCCTCCTTAGAAAGGAGGTTTTGGCCTATTATACCACCCTGGCCAGACGGGTTGGTATAAGGTTTGTGTCAAGTTTTCCTTCTCTCCGCAGTGCTGTTGTCCTGCGTAGTTTGTAGTCCCTTAGTCGGTTCTTACGACACCCACGGGATGAATAGCGGTGGTGAGACTCTGTATTCTTAATCCGTCACCACACGGATTGTACAAAACAGAAATGGGGTCGGCACGATGTGTAACATCCAAAAAAGGTTTAATATGTCAATGGTTTGCCTTGCCAACAGTCCGAACAAGTGATACTGCAAGGAATAAACAATAACAAGAGACTCACCTTGGACAATGTCGTACACTTGAGCATGGGACACGAATTGGAGATAAATGCAGACAATGTTGGTGTGGAGGCTCTGAAGTGTGAAGTAAAACTTGAACCAAATGATTGTGAAGGTAATATTTTACATTTAATTATTTGGTCTTTTTACGTGACGCTAACATTAGGTGGATCAAAAGAATTGTGCCGCGTATCTGTATCCGTATATTTTTACATTAATATATTTGTGAACACCTCTTCTTTTCCTCTCTTCGCTTATCGTGGGAGAGCCATACTTCAGCACAAGTAGACTGGCTCGACTTGATTGATATCACATCACGGCTTCACAGAAAACTACCCAAAAACATACTTCTTTATAACTCAATGTTGTTTATAGATATCTCTGAGGATGCTCTGGAGGAAAATAGTGTCTTTGACAACGTACAGTCTGCAGACTCAGGCGAAGATTTTATAATTGTTGTGAAAGAGGAACAGACCGGAGACATGACAAGTATGTATACTGTGTATGTTTTTATTTAAATAATAAACAACTCTTGAAATGTTAGCGATATTTAAAATTAATTTTGTGTGTACGCGTCTGTC